CCTTCAAAATCACCCCGAGATGGCCCAAGTTGGCTTCCACGCGGCCCTCGAGGCCGCCAAGACAATCGAAGATGCCCCCCAGGCGGCCCAGACCGCGGTCACGATGGCCCCAAGACGGCCTCAAGATGCCCCCTAGAGGCGTCCAGTAGGCTTCCCACAGGGCCCCAGGAAACCACAATCCTTCAAAAACCGATGGGGGACCGAAGGTTTTTTAAGAACTTGCCTTTTGGCTCCCTATCGGCCTCCGAGACTTGCGGATGGTCTCTTCGGGGCATCCGAGGCGCCCGAGAGAGCTCCAAGACGGCCGACGGGGTCCCCAGAATCTTTGAAGATGGCCCCGGGACGGCCCAAGATGGTTTCAACGTAAGGGAGAACATGTCCGAGTGATGACATCACCTTTTCGCTTGCGACGAGCCTCTAAGCCTCAGGATGAGCCAAGAATGGCTCCAGAGGATCCGGAGAGAGCCCTCCAGGACTGTCGCTCAGAGAACCCCCCAAGGAGTCAACGAGGCCCCCAAACGGCGAAGATCTGTCGACAAGCTAGAGGGAGCACCATACATTGCTGCAGAATCCGCGTTTCGAGTTTGCGATGGGCTTGGGGTTCTCGTGTTGCGTGACTGACGATTGCGGATGGTCCCAGAAGCTTCCCCAGGAACATGTGACCGACGACGGCGATGATAATCTCCGTAGTGATTCGACGTTTGGCGGTGCTGATGATCTTGAAGACGCCCTTGATGAAGGCGACGATGGCCGTGGCGACACTCACGCTCATGACAATGTTTACCACCCCGCCGGGAGCCCCTGAGCCGGGGCAACAAATGAGACCGCCCTCGTTTGGCGAAACGGGACGGCTTCGGAGCCCCCGAAGAGGGCCCAATAAGGGTCCAACGCGGCCCTGACAGGGAACCCAAGGGAAAAAGAAAGAGAATGTGCCTCGAGGCCACGACAGCCCCAAATATCGCCAAGCGTGCCCCACGAGCCCCCAACGAGTCCCCCAGATGCCCCGCGACGCCCAGGAAGGAGCCCCAGCTCCGAAGACCCCCAAGCAGTCTCAAACAGGCCCCCAAGGTTCTCACCGACGACGACGACGACGACGACGACGACGACGACGACGACGACGGCGATGATGATGATGACTTCGTGATGGATTCGTCAACTAAACGCCCAAACCACGCTCCCAAGAGCCCTTTAGAGGCCTCCCAGAAAATCCGAATTTGTCAATAATGTAAGGGAAACCATATCGTTGTGAAGACCTCGCATTTTCGCTTGCGATAAGCCTCTGGGCCTCAGGATGGTCCCAAAAATACTCCAGGTGATCCCGAGAGATCCCCAGGACGGTCGCTCAGAGGACCCCTCCGGGGATCCACGAGGCCCCAAAATGGCAAAGATCTTTCGAGAAGTTTGATCGCAACATACATGCTTGCAGCTTCGGTTTGCGATGTGCTTGCAATTCTAGTGTTATCTTGCATGCGACCGTGGATGTTTCCAGAGGCCTCCTTGGGAACATCTGGCCGACGACGACGATGATAATATTTGTAATGGTTATACTTATGACGATGCTGACGACGGGGAGGACGCCATTGATGAAGGCGGCGATGACAGTGGCAACACTCACGCTCATGACAATGTTTACCACCCCGCGAGGAGCCCCAGAGCCGGGGTACCAAATGAGACCGCCCTCAGTTGGCCCAACGGAACGGCTTCGGAGGCCCCGAAGAGGGCCCAATATGCGCCCAACGTGGCTCTTACAGCGACTGCAAGGAAAAAGGAAGAGAAGGAGCCCTGAGGCCATGACAGCCCCAGTATCGCCAAGAAGGCCCCACGAGACCCCAAGGAGTACACATGTACATAGATGTATGTATATATATATATGTATCGACATACATACATACATACATACAGACAGACAGACAGACAGACAGACAGACAGACAGACAGACGCTCGGCCTCCCACGTTGCCGGGGCGCCCATCAGCCAGACAGACAGACAGACAGACAGACAGACAGACATTCATACATACATACATGCATACCTACATGCATGCATACATACATGCATATGTACGGATGGCGTTTCCTCCCCCTTCTCATCCTCGTTGTCCCCCCATACCCCCCCTACCTCCCGGACTCAACCTCTCTCTTCCCTCATCCTCCCTTGTTTCTCCTCATCATCCTCCTCCAGCGTCCCATTTGTATCTTGTCTTCCGTCAGTTCCTCCCCCTTTATCCTCCTCATTCCCCCTTCCTCCCCCTTTTTCCCTCCCTCCCTCTCATCCCGTCCTTCTCCTTCTTGTCCCCATCTCTCCTTTCCTCCTCCCCTCCATCCTTCGTCCTGGTGCATAGTTCTGCCCTGTCGCACTACCAGACGTGTCGCTAGGGCGGGCCAGGCGTTTCGTTTGAGATTTACTCACTGCCTGCGGTCTGAAAATCTGGAACTTCCGACCGTCACACTGCTGGAGAGCGGGTGGGTCGTTTTCCCAAATGGGATTCTCGCCTAAGCGCCGTGCACATCTGTTATAATAGAGTCCAAAAAGTGCACGGGCAGAGAGCGGCTCTTTTTCAAAATGTTGTTCTCACTTGCGCCTCCCGCAGGAACGAAAGTTACAATCCAGGTTAAACATCAGATAAAAAAAATATCCCAGAGCGACCCTACCTAGGAGTTGGAGCCCCGAGGAGAGCAATATTAGTAGTAACGCTATGCTATGCTATGCTATGCTATGCTGCGCTATGCTATGCTATGCTATGCTGCGCTGTGCCATGATAAGCTATGCTATGCTATGATATGCTGCGCTATGCTATGCTACGCTATACTATACCATGCTATGCTGCGCTATGCTATGCTGCGATATGTTATGCTATGCTATGATATGCTATGTTAATGCTGCGCTAAGCTGAGTTGAGCTAAAGCTAAGCTAAGCTTGGCTTGGCTAGGCTAGGCTAAGCTAAGCTAAGCTAAGCTAAGCTAGGCTAGGCTAAGCTAAGCTAGGCTAAGCTAAGCTAAGTTCCGCTAGGCTAAGCTAAGAAGAGATAAGCAAAGCTAAGCTAAGCTAAGGGGACGTAACTGGGGGAACCGCGGGGCGGATACTGGGGGAACCGCCCAGGGCGCTTTCCACTGCCCGGCCCCGTTAAGACCATAGAGTAAGAACCTTTCTAGGCAGAGCCCAGGTAGGGAAAAACTCCTCCCGAAAAGCTGGGTCGGCGTTTCTTAACCCGTTCGCCGGAAAGCCGGCCCAGTTTCTTGAGCACGTTCGCCTTTCCAGCGTTAGCAACAGAAGGTGGCCCAGGCTCGGTTGGCCCAGATCTCTTGATTGAGATTGGTTGTTCCCATTTTCTGCTGTACAGGAAGTACCTTGCGACGTACCCAGCCCATCTACAGCTATTGAGCCGAACCGTTGGCCAAAGCTGTTACGGATGAACCTGCTGTCGTGAGAGTTGCACGAGAGGCTCGCGCACTGCGGGGCTCGAAAGGACACCGAGAGGAGGCGTCCCCCCCCAGGCATGGCGAGGTGTCATATGGATCCCCGCAGGACCCCACGAGGCTGAACCCCGAGCAGCCCTCAAAGGTGACGACAGTTTCACGCCTCGCGGCCCCCCCAGACATGGCGAGATCGAATCTGGATCCCCGCAGGACCTCCATGGCGAGGTCGAATCTGGACCCTTGTAGGACCCCACGATGCTGGATCCCCCAGCTGCCTTCGAAAGTGGCGACAGCTCACACTTCGCAGCCCACCAGGCATGACGAGGTCTAATCTGGATCCCCGCAGGACCTCACTATGCTGAACCACCCAGCACCCTTCGAAAGCCGCGATAGTTCATACTTCGCAGCCCCCCAGGCTTGGCAAGGTCGAATCTGGATCCCCGCTGGACCACACTACGCGGCACCCCCCAGCAGCCCTCGAAAGTGGCGACGGTTTCATATTTCGCAGCCCCCAGGCATGGCGAGGTAGGAGGCAGGTAGGAAGTACAGGGAAGAGGGGCGGAGGGAGGCGGGATAATTAGGAGGTGGAGACTAGGATGCGTTATTCAAGACGAGAGCCTGACAGAGGGTTGGGAAAAATGCGCAATTGATACATGGACGGAGTCCGATTCCTTTTTCAGAATTGGGTTTTCGCTTGCGTCGTCGTCATTGTTCTACAACCAGAAGTCTTATCCTGCGCAGCAGTTACGCGGATGCAAGGTGACCTCGTTTCAGCGTACCCTCGAGTGTTCGCCAGATTAGCCAGCGGAGGGGCTCATGGTCTTGAAGGATGGTCTTCGAACCTAGGTCCGACGATAGTCGCGGGGCACATCTTTGAGCGCTACGACGTATGACCCAACACTGTCGCATGGAGGTGGAGGAGGAGGCGGAGGAAGAGGAGGGGGAGGAGGAGGAGGAGGAGGAGGAGGAGGAGGAGGAGGAGGAGTAGGAGGAGGAGGAGGAGAAGAGGGGACCCCACACGGTCGCAGATTTGTTTTAGCTCGACAAGTGGACTACAGTTGTTGTTCAAAGCTGAGCTCCCGCCTAACTTGCGATTCCGTGCGCTCGTCTTTCCAGGGGGGGGGGGGGGCGCTGCGCGCAGGGACAACATTGGCGGCGAGCGAGGGGGGGAGATGAGAAGGAGAAGGCCCGATAGGAAGGCGGCGGGACTTCTCAGAAGCCATCGCGCTTTCGGAGAGGTGTTCCGTGTCTTCGGGGACGCTTTCGAAGATTTCCCAGAAGGCCCCGGGGATGACTTAGCCTTTCGGGAAGGCCCGCCCCTTTTCTTTTCCCCCCGGGCTCGCCGCCGACAAAAGACTGCGTTTGGGGACGTCTTGGGAGGAGGTTTGGGACGAGAGGGTGGGAGTGTGTGTTGCAGCACCGTTGATGCATCTTGTCTCCACTCTGGTTCCCTTTCTTGTCCTCGTCCTGCTCCCCTTCATCCGCGCCCTCCTCCTCCTCCTCCTCCTCCTCCTCCTCCCCCTCCTCCTCCTCCTCCTCCTCCTTCTCCGCCATGCCCGGCCTGGATCGCCGCCGCTTCGTCAGGCAAGCCGGGCCCCCGGCCTCTCCCCACTACAAGTACGAGGATCCCACGCGGTGGATCTGGCGCCCGGAGATGTTCCAGGCGGGAGGGTTTGAGGGGAGGGCCTCTGACAGGAGAGGAGAGGAGAGGAGGACTAGGAGGAAGAGGGATAGATGGAGCAGGAAAAGGAGGAGGAGGAGGAAGAGGGATGAGGAGGGGAGGGGAGGCGGAAGAGGAAGGGAGGGAGGGGGGTGGGCGTTGGAGATAGAGAAAGAGAGAAGGAGGGGGAAGAGGGAGAAGGAAGGAGGAGAAGGAGGAGAAGGGATGGGGAAAAGAAAGTGGAGGAGCTCGGACGAAGGAGGAGGACGAGGAGGAAGGCGGAACCGAGGAGGGGGAAGAGAAAGAGCAAGGACGAGAAGACGGAGGGACAGAAGGAGGACGAGGAGGGAGGAGGACGAGAGCAATGACGAAGATGGAGGTGGATATCAGAATTGGACATGACGTTGGGCAGGCCAACCCCGAGTGGGGGATGGCTGGGGGGCACGCCCCGCGAAGCCGGGTGGCGTCCGCGCTGGGCGGCCAAGTGGGAGGGGCGGAGGCAGATGAGTATGAGGACGACGGACGAGGTGGAGGAGGAGAAGGAACGGGAGGAGGGAGGAGCGAGGAAGGGGGAGGGAGGAGCGAGGAAGGAGAAGGGAGGGAGGGAGGGAGGGAGGGAGGGAGGGAGGGAGGAGGAGGAGGAGGAGGAGGAGGAGGAGGAGAAGGAGGAGGGGACGACGAGGCCCAGGAGGGAGGAGGGAGGCGAGAAGAGCGAGGGAGGAGGAGTTGCAGAAGGAGAAGGAGGTGCAGGAGAAGGTGCAGGAGGAGCAGGAGGAGGAGGAGGAGGAGGAACGGCATCAGCAGGAGGATTTAACTCGGTGGCTCTGGCGCCCGCTGGGAGGTGCTGCAAAAAAGAGGCCGCGAGCTACTGTCGCGACTCGGCCTGCGGCGGCTGCTCCGGGGCCGCCCAGATCCAAACGTTTGAGCTGGTGCACGCTGCGAGTATGTGTAGTCGGCCCGCATGGTAAGGATGGGCATCCTTCCCAAGGGTACACTTGCATCCTTCCCTCCTCGGTCCATCCTTGGCCACTTTCGTTGGCCGCGCCCCGCTCGAAAGGCTTCGAGATGGCCGTCCAAGGCCTTTGCATCCTTACCGCGCATCCTTACGATACGGGGTGACTGTGGGCGGTTAAGGTGGCACTCTATGGATCCGATGGTCTCTTGTTCTCGCTCTCCTGCCTCAGGCTCCCATCCGCACGGGAGGCTCGCCGCACACGAGGTCTGAGATCGTTTGGAGCACCGCCTGGACTCCCCCGAGCCGCCCTTTCCACAGACAGGACACCACCGCTGTTCCAGTAAACATCACGACCGGGGCCCATTGTGAGGAAACGAGGTCTCACGACCCGAGGAGGAGGAGGAGAAGGAGGAGGAGGAGGAGGAGGAGGAGAAGAAGGAAGAGGAGGCATGACGGAGGGGGGAGCCCCGCGCACAGCATCTAGATCACCAAAAGTTGACCGAACTGAGCCGAATTTCTCCTCTTCTCCGCCCGTGCGCGCCGCGGACACTACACCGTTTAGGAACGATTGCTTGGCACGTCGCACCGCCAGCTCTGGCCGGACACGCTTCGATGCGACATGCTACGTTTAAGTCGGGCACGTTCCTCCACAGGAGGAAGATCCGAGAATAGTTTTAAATTAGCCTGGCGAAGGACCCAACCATATGCAGTTGTGATCACCGCAATTTTGAATATCTTCTTCGGTGGCGTTCCCTATGGGACCACGAACCGTATGAGGGGTGCGCCGAGTTGCGTGGCGGGGTACACAACACGAACGAAGACGATAGGTCGAATTACTAGAGACTGAGCTCGGGTGAGTCTGAGCGCAAGTGGGCCAGAGTGTGAATGAGTCTGCGTGCGAGTGAGTATATTTGCATGATCGCGAGCACGGCCACGCCTGTTGTGTATATGTTCCTTAGCTTGCGGGATAATCCATCTATGTTCGGCGGGAGCGCCGTGGTTCGCACAGTCATCAGATGAATTGAAACTCTGTTGATTCTGTGTCCGTAGTCCGACTTGTTTTTGCTCAAGCTGTTTTCTTGTCAGTCTATGGGCCTCCCAAGATTTTTCCATGTGGCCGTCGCCACGCTATGGGGGTTCACGTTGGGATCAGAGAAACAGTCTCGGCTGCACGCGATGGAGCCCGTTCATATGGATGTGGAGGATAGCGACACTGGTGTTTGTAACCGCTCGTGTGACTCCCTCTCGCGCCCCTCAGGGAACGGATCTGTCAAGCAGATGTACATCGAGGGCCACTCCCACAGCCGTCTCCCATCCGAGCCCGTCGTGTGGATCAACCTCTTCTGCGTTTCGCAGAGCGCCTGCTGTACCTCAGTGGCCGTCGGTGCTTGGGGCTGCGATGGCGCATGTCGGAGGATTGCCTCCGCTGATGGGGCCGCCCGCGGTGCCCCCGCCGAGACCGAGGCCAGCTCCTCCTACGGCGCCCCCGATGCAGGTGCGCATGGACGGGTGGCCGCAGCCGACAAGTGCGGGGCCGGGCAGTTGGCGTCGCCTGGTGGTCGAGTTTGTGGGGGAGGCATTCGTACACGAACGTTTGGTGATTAGGGCCGACCCGAACGGCGGCTCAGCCTGGATTGCGACGCCTGATCAGGATGAGTACGAGGAGGACTACCGTCATGATCCCGACATCGTCGGGGTTACCTTCACGAATGCTGCATGCGGCAACATGAAGATCTCGGACGAGGCGGTGATCGCGCCCACGGGCCCGCTCGCGAGCGTGAAGGCGGTGTCGGCCCGCACGCTGCCGTCGGGGATCACTGTGGCTGTCTTCTTGGAGTGGGTGCCGATGCAGAAGTCTGCCAGCTTCAGGGATGACAAGATTGATCTCTACGCGTCGGAGGTGAGTGAACGTCGCATTATGAAGCCCTGTTTCGAGTATGGCGTTTGAAGTCGTACCTTCAACGATGGTGTGTTGAAGTTGTTGAAGGAACCTGACGTCGATGGCCTCCCGAAGGGTCCTCGCATCACGCTTGGCACCGCGCAGACTCCGAGGTCTCAGGGGCTGACCTGGCAGACACAGGCTCGTGAGAGTCGCGTGGCGGCTCGCATTCCTCCTGGGGACAGGTCGGTGGACGAGTGCAAGCTGGTCTGCGAGGTTCTGAAGGTGTTGCAGCGCATCGATCGGTGTAACCTGCCGAACACGGTAGGGGTCGAGCTGCTGGTGAGGCGCAAGAGTGTGCTGGAGGAAGCGCACGCCTCGTCCCCCAGCAACCCGGACTACAGCGCAGCCAACATCATGATGGACTGGGCCGAGACACTCATGAGCTACACCGCTAACAGGCTGAAGGACAAGGCGGCGATCTTAAAGGAAGAGAGGAAGGCAGTCGATGAGTCCATGCTCGGGGGAAAGAGTCAGCCCCCGAAGGACAAGGACAAGGGCACCAAGGACTAGGGGGTCGAGATCGACCCCTTCGGCACCCTCGCAGGTGCCCTCGCCGGGCGTCGTCCGCTGACGATGTTCGACAACCGTGCAGCTCCTCGCGAGCTTCTACCTCTTCCTATACCCCCTTCATGGTCTTCGCCATCCTGGCCGAGGCATCGCTGCAGGAGGCTGCAGCAGCGCTTCGACCGCAAGAAGGCAGTTCTGAGCCGCGCCGTCGACTCCGTCAAGGCGCTGAATTGGTTGCATGGTGGGCGCCAGCCTCCAAGTTTTTCGAGTCCTACCCTGTCACAGGCTACGGCTCTTCAACACCTTCTGGATGTTCATCGGACGGACGTCCCGGAGATCGTTAATGCCGAGGCAGCCCGCGTGGAGTTGCTCGGCGCAGGACGGGACTACGCTGGTGGTCCTGAGCTTCCCATCGCGAGTTACGACAAGGATCTGCTCTCCATGCCCCAGCTTGGGGCGGAGCCCGTCGACCTATCCACGGTGCTGGAGGGCAGGGCCAGAGAATGTCTCGTTAACTTCGAAGAGGAGATCTTGCACGGTCCCGACGATTGGGGCCATATTACTGAGTGTGAGGAGCATGTCAAGCCGCACATGGATCCAGTGCTTAAGACCGATGCCGACGCTTACTTCGACTTCGTGATGAGGGGTCACAGGTCTGGTTTGTTTCGCTTCGGCCGCACGTCCCACGTCATCGCGACACCTTTCTTTGTGAGGAAGAAGGCCGGCACTTTGAGATTGATACTTGACTGCCGCCCAAGTAATCGCAGGATGCGTGAGAGCCCCTACGTTCGGCTCGGAGGGCCGGCTGATGTGGCTCGACTGCTGCACTCGCGCGGTGACGGGGACCCGTACGTGGCCCTCGGCGACGTGAAGGATTATTTTCATTGCTGCGGGCTTCCACCAGGCCTAAGTCCATATTTTTCCCTGCCGCCCGTGTCAGGTCTGCGACTTCTTCGGGCTGGTATTCACAATGTCGAAGGTGTTCCCGTTCTTCCAGGTGACAGAATCTTTCCTCAGTCCAGGGTCGTTCCCATGGGGTGGTCTTGGGCTTGTTACTTCGCGCAGTCTGCTACAACGTCTTTGGTGCATCGTTTCTCGGGCTCCGAGGGTGACAGCTTCCTGGAATCCTGTAAGCCCCCTCCTGGTCTCGATCGGCCCGCTTATAACGTCTACATAGACAACATTAGCATCTTTGGCCAAGGTAAGTCACAGACCGATAGGATCGCCAACCAGGTTTTCGACGGGGTCGAGAGTGTCGGCTTTCGGGTCCACGAGCGCGCGTCTGCCAGCAAGTGGGCGCTGACGCTCGGCCTAGAGATCGACTTCTTGCATAGCACGGTCCAAGGAAAAAGGCAGAAGAGGTGGAAGTTGAAGGTTGTCTTGGATTGGTTGGCAGATGCTCCGTATGTGTCGGGTCAGGAGATTGAGAGACTTCTGGGCCATACCACCTTTCACTTCGGTCCTAATCGGCTGTTCTTGTCCATCTTTAACAACGCCTATGACTTCATTCGTTCGAGTTACACCTCTCGAGTGCGTCTCTGGCCCTCGGTGGCAAGGGAGTGCTGGGCCGCTGGGTGTCTTATCTCGTTCGCGTTCGCAGATCTGGGAAGGGACTTCGACCCGCTCGTGAGCTGTTTCGACGCTAGCAAGTGTGGGGCAGGGGTCGTCACGGCGCCTTGGGACTCGGCTCAGGTTCGTTCAGAATGCGAGTGGGAGGAGAGGTGGCGGTTCAAGTGGGATGTGTACGATCGGGTTGCGCCCAGAGACAACAACTTCCTATCGTTGGACTGGGGGGACATCGAAAGCGTCAAGCCTTGTCGTGACAGGTCGTCGCTCTGGTCCCTGGACAAGTCGTTCAGAGAAGTCCCGAAGGAGAACCTAGTGGGCCCCACCTGGACCAAGGTCGTTCGGAGTTTTTGGAAGGACGAGGAGCCGATATTATGTCTGGAGGCCCGCGCGGGCCTGCTGGCGGTGCGTCATAAGTTACGGGCGGTCTCAAGTTTCGGTAAGACTCATCTGCACCTCGGGGACTCCATGACCGCCATCCTGGCTTTCGAGAAGGGGAGGGCCAAACATCGAGGTATTCTGGGCGCCTGTCGTCGTCTTTTGGCTCTGAGCGTGGCCTCCGACACCAGACACCACTTCAGGTGGGTGCCGTCAGAGCTGAACCCGAGTGACCCTGATTCACGCTACTTCGAGCTTCCAGTCGACAGCGATGGCCGACGCTTGCTTCGTCGCTCCACGTCTCGTGCCTGGACGGCGCAGGCAGACGGCAAGGGGAGCTGGCGGGCCGTCGATCCAGGCGGCAGTGCTCTCGCCGACGGCGGACCCTTCGGACACGGTGCTGGCCCAGAAGACACGTCGGTCAGCTCGACGCCTGGTGCTCATGCGACAGAGGGCGTTGAAGCGCGTCCGCGCCATCGGGGGCGTGGTTCCAGCCCTGAAGGCTCTGAAGGGCGATCGCACAGTGCTGGAGAACTCTCACCTGTCGGCCCCCGTCAGGAGGGACTACTGTCGGCGGCTCGACAAGTTCTGGGAGTTCGGTCGAAGCCAAGGTCTCTCCTTGGTCAACCTGAAAGTCTGCGACGACGCGCTGTGCGACGTTGCCGACCTGCTGTTCCTGGACGGCGAGCAGGTCGACGCGGGGACCAAGCTCCTGGCCGCGCTGGAGGACCACGACGTGCAGCGGTTCGACAAGCCCAGCCTTCCTCGGTTTCGGCGGGTTCTTCGAGCTTGGCATCGGAAGGGGCTTGTGGGCAGCAGGGACCCTCTACCGTTCCGCCTTCAGGCGGGCATCCTGGGCGTCCTGTCGCTCCTTTGCTTCCACGAGGAGGTGCTGGCGCTGGCCCTCATGTTCGGCTGCTACCTGCGCCCATCCGAGCTCGTGACGGTGGTCGAAGGCGACCTCCTCGAGCCCGTGGCCAACGCGGGCGTGGCCCTCGCGTGCTGGAGTCTACTCCTGCGGCCTTTCGAGAGGGAGGAGCCGACCAAGGTCGGCCAATTCGACGACACGCTCCCGCTCGACAGCCCCGACTTCCCCGGCTTGGGGGCCCTCCTTGCTGGCTTTCGCGGAGGGGACGTGGAGGTCTGGCTCTTCAGTTTCAGCCAGACGCAGCTGCTGCGCCGCTTTCAGGCGGCTTGCCGCGCGGCGGGCCTGGGCTCGCTGAACCTCGAGATGTACCAGCTTCGCCACGGAGGGGCGTTGAGGGACTTCCTGATGTAGACGAGGGAGATCCAGGCGGTCAAGCAGCGGGGGCGCTGGGCGTACGATCGCACTTTGCTTCGCTACATGAAGGCGGGCAGGGCGCAACGGCTTCACAAGGCTTTGACGCCCGTGTCCAGCCGCTGGTGCCAGGAGGCGGAGGCCAACCTTTCGCTCGTCCTTCGCGGCGAGTGGCAGCCTTCCCTTCGGCCGCCAGGAGCCTGCCTCGGTCTCTCGGGGGCGGGTTTGTGATCGAGGTCTTCTCAGGCAGCGGCAGGCTGGCCAAATCCTTCGGAGCTGGGCATCCCGGCGCTGACCTGGGACATCGAGCACGGCCCCGCTGGCGACTTGCTGGACGATGACGTACTGCGCTGCGTGCTGTTGTACATCGCCTCTGGTAGGTGTCTTTTCCTTTGGTTGGGCACGCCGTGCACTTCTTTTTCTCGGGCCCGAAAAAACGACGGTCGTGGCCCTGGGCCTCTTCGGGACCCCTGGCACCTGGACGGCCGCCCCGAGCTTCCTCCCTCCGACCTCGTCAAGGTCGAGAACGGGAACCGTATTTTAGAGGTCTCGCTAATGCTAATGCGATGTGCAGCAGCTCACAACGTCCCAGCGGTGTTGGAAAACCCTAACACGAGTCTTTTATGGGACATGCCTCAGATGCTAGAATTTCGATTATCTCATGACACTAAGTTCACGGTGCTTCATTTCTGTCAATATGGAGAGCTTTGGGTTAAGCCCACCCGTCTGCTCCTCCTGTCTTGCTCTCACCTTTCGGCCGCGGGAAAAACTTGCACTGGCCGCGGTGTGTGTTCCAGGACTGGAAAGCCCCACGTCGAGCTTCGGGGCAAGGACCCTACAGGAACTTTCTGGACCCTCCGCGCTCAGCCTTATCCTCGCCAGCTCACTCGTGCCGTTGCTTCACTGATGATGTCTCACTTCATCAGTGCCGGAGGATCCTCCTCTTAAGCCTTCGGCCAGAACGCTACTCTGGTGCGGGTGTGGGTGCTCTTTTGTGGCTCTTGGTGGTTGGTTGCCCCTCCGTTGCCCTTGCCTGGTGACGTCGGCGGGATGACTTCGGGTCCCCGTCCACGCTCGCTGGGCCAGGGTAGCGGTTGGGCTACCAGCCTCCTGCCACGGCAAGATCTGTGCCTCTGGCGGTGAATAGTTTTACAGTCTTCGAGCCTCGGTGAGATGCTCTCTCTGGCGCGTGAGCAGAACGGGAATATGGATGTTCCTTAGCTTGCGGGATAATCCATCTATGTTCGGCGGGAGCGCCGTGGTTCGCACAGTCATCAGATGAATTGAAACTCTGTTGATTCTGTGTCCGTAGTCCGAGTTGTTTTTGCTCCCCACCCTCTCCACCCTTTCTTGGGGTGCTCTTTTGTGGCTCTTGGTGGTTGGTTGCCCCTCCGTTGCCCTTGCCTGGTGACGTCGGCGGGATGACTTCGGGTCCCCGTCCACGCTCGCTGGGCCAGGGTAGCGGTTGGGCTACCAGCCTCCTGCCACGGCAAGATCTGTGCCTCTGGCGGTGAATAGTTTTACAGTCTTCGAGCCTCGGCGAGATGCTCTCTCTGGCGCGTGAGCAGAACGGGAATATGGATATATATATAATATATATATAATATATATATATATATATATATTATATATACATATACGAATTTGAATGGTTCACGTATGCCTGACCCTGACTACTCGTGACATTGAGCGTGGCCGCCGCAGGAAGCTTCCCCTGGAACCCTGACAGCAGCGGCCGCGCGCCGCGACGCCCATGCCGGCACGCTCCTCACGAGGATCGCGCCTGCTTCCTTCCTGTTTGTTTTTCTTCCTCTTTGCCCGTGCACGCCCATGTCCAAGGCTGCGGGCGCGGCGCCGCACGGAGTCCCCGCGACACGCGTTGGTCGCCCCGGAAGGGGTCCCAGCGACGCGCGCGGGTCGTCCGCTGCGCGGAGCAGAGAGACCTAGCTGGCTGGATGATAGCGGGCATGGCTGTGGACGCTGGGCAGAGCGACGAAGGGGGCGAGCGAGGCTCTGGGCAGAGCGCAGCGCGGAATTCCCGCGACGCGCGCTGGTCGCCCCGAGAGGGTCCAAGCGACGCGCGCGGGTCGCCCGCGGCGCGAGGCCAAACAGTCAGACCCTCGAGAGACGGCGAAGATCGGGCGGGCCGCTCCTCGGGTCAAGCCTCGCGGATAAACTCGGTGAAGTTCAGCTCCCTGGCGACGGCCGCCGCCTCCCTCCTGCACCGTTTCGTGCGCGACGCAAACTGTTCCAGCTGCTTCCGCAAGCCCTCCGGCGGCCCTGCCAGGAAGAACTCAAAGTAAACTGCGCCAGTGGGACCTTAGGAGGAGCACCCTCTGTGGACACGAAACGTGTGAGGGGTATGCCAAAATGGGGCGGCGGGCAGCGGCGCCATGCGAGCTGCGACATTGGGACCTTAGGTGCAGCTCCCTATGGGGCCACGAAACGTGTGAGGGGTGTGCCAAAATGGGGCGGCGGCACCACGCGAGCTGCGCCACTGGGACCTTGAGTGGAGCCCCCTTGTAGGGCAGCAAAACGTGTGAGGTGCGTGCCAAAATGGGGCGGCGGCACCACACGAGTTGCGCCACTGGGGCCTTAGGTGGAGCTCCCTATGGGGCCACGAAACGTGCGAGGGGTGTGCCAAAGTGGGGCGGCGGTGCCATGCGATCTGCGCCACTGGGACCTTAGGTGGAGCTCCCTATGGGGCTACGTACGAAACGTGCGAGCGAGGGTGTGCCAAAATGGGGCGGCGGCGCCATGCGAGCTGCGCCACTGGGACCTTAGTTCGAGGTCCCTATAGGGCCACGAAACGTGAGAGGCGTGTGCCAAAATGGGGCGGCGGCGCCATACGAGCTGCGCCACTGGGGCCTTCGGTGGAGTTCCATATGGGGCCACGAAACGTGCGAGGGGTGTGCCAAAATGGGGCGGCGGCACCACGCGAGCTGCGCCACTGGGACCTTAGGTGGAGCTCCTTGTGGGGCCACGAAACGTGTGAGGGGTGTGCCTAAATGGGGCGGCGGTGCCATGCGAACTGCGCCAGTGGGGCCTTAGGTAGAGCTCCCTATGGGGCCAAGAAACGTGTAAGGGGTGTGCCAAAATGGGGCAGCGGCGCCATGCGAGCTGCGCCACTAGGGAAGAGGAGGCGGGAGGGAGGGAGGGAGGGACGCAGGGCGCTGTCTCTTACTGGGTGGGTGAAACGCAGGGAGGGGGGAGGAGGAGAAGAGGAGGAGGAGAGGAACGCGGGGCACCGTCTCTTCACAACGAGGACCCAACACCACAGGATGGTTGGGAAAAAAGGCTGGGGACGATGTTTCGTGCCCTTTTTGTTTATTTTTGCATGCGTTTGACTACGTTTCACTTGTCCCCCAAAGTCTGCCTCTAGGAGAACATGCCCGACGTAAGGCTAGGCACGCCCCAGTCCGCCAGCATCAAGGTCCCGAGTTGTTAGTTCCGGCCTCCCGCCCGCTCTCGCAGCAGAGCGACCCGCTGCCAGCTCGCAGGGCAGCGTGTCGCCCTGGCCGCCGCCGCCCAGACGCGCCAAGCGAGAGGCCCTCTCCGCAGGACCGACGGGCCCGCGCCCGGAACGTCGCACGCCCGCGCGCCGCCCGAAGCCGAGAAGCCGAGGCGGAGGTCGGCGACGTCGTCGTCGTCGTCGTCTTCGTCGTCGTCCCTCGTCGCCTGCCCCTTGTGTGCCTCCACGTCCGCCAGCGGGTGGATCGGCCGGCCGCGCACGTCCCCGAAGCAGGCGCCGATGAGCTGCTGGTCGCCCCCGCGCAGGTCTGGGGGGGGGGTCGTCAGTGCCCCCCCCCCCCCCCCCCCCCCCCTGGACCTCCCCTGCTGGAAGCCGCCCCCCCGCCCCCTTTGTTTGCCCCCCGCACCCCTCCTTTTCGCACTCTGTGAGCTACCCCCCCCCCCCCCCGCCTTCTGTGAGCCCCCCGGCGAGCCTTCCCAGCACCAGACATCGAGCAAAGAAAATCAGCCAGCGTTGACTCCAAATAGATAGGAGGACGAGAGGAGGATGGGAGGAGGACGAAAGGAGGACGGGAGCAGGACGGGAGGAGGACGGGAGAAACAAAATCTAGCAAAGCGCAAGCAAGCAAGCGTAAGCAATCAAGCGCAAGCGAGCAATAACAAGCAAGCAAGACGCAGCGATCAAGTGCAAGCAAGCGAGGGCAAGCAAAAGCAAGCAAGCGAGAGCAAGCACGCAAGAGCAAGCAAGCAAGTGCCATTGGAAAAGGGGGGGGGGCCATTGGAAAAAGGGAGAGGGGGTCCTAAATATCAATTACGTATGATGAGCTAGGACTCCTATAGGGCAAGCCTAGTTGGAGAAAAAACACGCACGAAACCGAACGGTGCACGGGGAGTGGACGTCCGGGCGGCGGGCCCGCGCCCGGAACGTCCCACGCCCGCGCGCCGCCCGAAGTCCAGGCGGAGGTCGGCGACTCCGGTTGTCCTCTCGCCTTGCGCCCTCGGGTGCCTGGGCTGTGGCCGCGGCGGCGGGGGCTGTGGGACGCAGGCCTGCGCCTCGCCACGAAGAGCCCTTGGCATCGCTCGGACGGGTGCATACTCTTCCCAGCGAGGACCATCCGAGAGCATCCTGGATCATCGGGCGGGAAAACAAATCCGGAGCCATTTGGGCTGAAGCATTGCGGCCCGACTTTCTGCGCGCCCCCCGGTGCGCGCGGCGACGTCAGACGAGCGAGATGTCCGACGTCGGCGGCTCGGAGCGGGCCCCGCTCTACGGCCCCGGCGAGCAGGCCATCGAGCTCGTCGACCTGGCGCCCAGCCCACCCGCGGAGCGCGGCGCCGGCGCGCCCGCGCTGCTCCCCAGGGGCGGCCCGCCCGAGAACATCGCGCGCCGCTGGGGCGCCCGTCTGGCGCTGCTGGCGCTCGCCGTCCTGGCCGCGGCGGGGCCCTTCGGTTACTTATTCGATTTGTTCCCGTACATTGATGACTTCGCGCCCGTGTTGTTCGCGGGCGCGCCCGCGCCGCTGGCCTTCGCGGCCTGGTGCGTCTGGGCGCGCGGGCGCTTCGAGGGCGGCTCGCCCCTGCACGTGGGGACGCGGCGCTTCGGGGTGTGCGCCGCGCTCCACGGGGCGAGCCTGCTGGCTTGGGAAATTTGGCCTAGAATTTGGTACCTACTACCCATTAGTTTCTGCACCTACTATGCCACCATTTTCGTGCAGTGGCACCTCCTGGTCCTGAAGCTCCGCGCGCTGGGGCGGCCCCGCCTCGCCGCGGCGACGCGGGCGGCCCTCTGGGGGGGCGAGGCCAGCGCGGCGTTCCTCTGCCTCATCACATGCCTCGACATACTGAACCCCGATCATTTTTATTTGGGGCATTGGCTTGAGCTTGTGATGATTACGTTCCACGCCTGCCAGGGCGCGGGGTTCTGCTGCGCGGCGTGGGGGCTCCTGGCCGGCGCGTGGCGGGGCCGGCGCTCCCGGCGCGCGGGGGCGGCCCGGGCGGCCGGGTGGGTGGGCGCCACGGGCGTCGTGGTCCTGCTGTCCTTGGCCGCCTCGTACGCGCAGTTCGGCATGTTGCTGGTCTTCCCGCGTAGGCATACCTGGGCCGCCGCGTTGGCGTGCGACAACGTCCTCAACTGTCTATCCGCCGTGTTCCTCTCTGGGCTGGAGGGCCCCCCTGGGTGCGGCGGCTGGCGCAAGAGGCCTTCGGGAAGGTCAACTCGTACGAGCACGGCCAGCTGCAGGCATTCTACGAGGAGTTCCTGGCCTACCTCGACCTGGCGCAGGTGAAGTGGGTCAAGTGCGGCTACCTCAGGCGGTTAGCCGAATCT